GAAAAAACCATTAGAAATATCCCAATCCTTAAATTACAGAACTTTAAGAAAAAGTTTCATGTTTTTAACAGGGAAAAGAATTCTTCAACTTTCTATAGCTTGATAAATTTCTTCTCAGTCTATTCTGGTGAACACAAATTATTTTATACAGAAAATTACTCTGTCACTTTTTGGCAAACCAAGAGTGAGAGCTATTCATTGACATGTTCTTGGTGGAAGTGACACTGCCATGCTCACATAGGTTACACTATCAGTGTTTTTGTAGAGGGAAACAAGAATGGCTATAGCAAAAGAAATTAGGTCTCAAAGCCTCTCCAGAAAGGAATGGATCCAAGTCTTCTCCACCAAGATAATCTTGCTGTGGTGGATGGGCGTGGTGGGGGAGGTGATTCAGTCCGGAAAGTGCTGGCCATGCAAGCAAGAGCCAAGTTTGGATGCTCAGCAGCCATGTGAAAAGTCAAGGGCATGTGCCTTGATCCCAGGGCTCAGGAGACAAAGACAGGAAGGTACCTGGAGCTTGCTGGCCAGATAGTCTGACTGAAACACTAAGGTCCAGCGAGAGGCCCCGTCTCAAAAAATAAAGTAGTCAGTGATTGAAGAAAATACCCTATGTCTACCTCTGGCTTCCACATACATGCACACACACACACATGCACACACAAACACATTCACATGCCTGCACGCACAAAGACATACACATAAGTTAAAACTTTTTTTTTTTTAAGTAGCCCTGGGTACTGCATAGTATTCAGATCAAATCTGTTTCCTGTCCATTTCCAGGAGCCACGTACATTCAGCATTAGTGGTCATGGTGGGGACCAGCTTCTTCCTGTTGTTTCTTAAGTCTATTCTCAGCTTTTGCCAGGAGCAACTGGACAATGTCTGTACAAGCCTTCAGGCATCAGTATGAAAAACCATGTCTCCCCACTCATTCTGTTTGTTTGGTTCACTGTTTGGCTCTGTGAAGAGTATTTCCACTACGTCTTTGTGCTGACCACTACAAGTCCAGTACAAAGCAGTGCTTCCGGCTTTGTCTAAGCCATCAACACCCACTGGGTTGTCCAAACAAACACTCATCCAGCTCAAACTGCCTCACTTCGCATCAAGCAGCTGGTGCGCAGCCACGTCTCTGTTTGGAATCAGCTGAGTCCTGCCTTTTCCAGCTCCCTTCCATCAGTTGGTATCACTTGAATGAGGAATAGAGATAATGTTGCCTTCCTCAAAGTACAATCCAGCATCACACAGAGCTCTGAAGGCTGTGACTTGCTGTAGTTTGGCCAGTTTGGGAGGCTGCTTTGCCATCTGGATTCCCCCCAGGAGCTAAACCTAAGGACAAAAAGCCACCAGCATGCATGTTCCCAAAGCCTTTTTTTTTTTTTTTTTTTTTTTGGTTTGGTATGTAAGGATGAGAGCCCCCAGGACTAGTGTCCACACTCTGTGAAGGACAGAGTTCCCTGCCCAGTTCTTGACATCAGAGCCCCTGAATCGATGATTTTTAGGTGTTATTTTTAAATAGCAAGGTCAGTGAAAAAAAATTAGACAGTTTGAAATTGGGTGATGTTGAAAAAAAAGTTCTTGCCCTTTATCTAAGGGGCCTGTGTTTAAAATCTGAGGTGAACATAGGTGTTAGGGGATGGGCAGACAAACCTAGACACACCTAGACTCCTTCTCCTCCTCCTCTCCCCCCCCCTTGGTTTTCTGAGACAGGGCTTCTCTGTATAGCCCTGGCTGTCCTGGAACTCACTCTGTAGACCAGGCTGGCCTCGATCTCAGAGATGCATCTGCCTCTGCCCCTGCCTCCCAAGTGCTAGGATTAAAGGCATGTGCTGCCACCCCCGACTAAAACGAAGACTCTTTAAATGGTGCCAGCTAGCCATTACATTCCTGAAGTGACAAATAACCCAAGGAACACGGTCTTGGCTACTTAACAAAGAGGAGTAATACTTTTTTTCAAAGGAGGGGAGATTTTCTGAACCCCCCATTCAGCTCTCTAGAGTCTAATGAGCTCAGAATGGCAACAACTTCCACTCCAGGCAGGGGAAAAATACCACAGAGACTAGGGAAAATCTAGGCCGGCTCTACCCCAGCATAGCCAGAATGATTTCAGAACAGAACAATGAAAATCACCCAGAAGTTAGCATGCTAGCAAGCACAAATATCTCCTTAAACAGAACCAATCCTCCCAAAAGCTTTCCAGCTTAGGTACTAGTGCCCCTCTGCTTCAGACGACACCCCTCAAGAGTGCTGCAGATTTTTACCAAAACCAATTTATAAATAATTTAGTGTCCCTGATTAATGTTTGTAGCTGGACCTGGCTGTAATCAAAACTGCGGGGGAGCTGGATCTGGAATTCAGGACCTAGCGGTGCTACTGAGCCAGCTCCAGGGCAGGCCGGGTAATTTCCCTACAATCTACTCGAAGAAAAAAAGGAAGGAGGGAGGCAAGGAAGGAAGGAAGGAAAGAAGGAAGGAAGAGAAAAGAAAAGGTGCAGTTACAGTTGGATACCTTGCCTAACGTCCTCATGTTAGGAGCCCTGGTTCCATTCTCTGCACAAACAAAATCCCTAAGAAGGTTGGGCCGGCCTTTCCAAGATTCGAATTGCTTTACAGAGACAACTGAATTCATGAGAATTAAAACAGTCCAGACTCACCCGGAGTTGGTGGCGCAAACCTTTCGTCCCACACTCGGGAGGCAGAAGCAGGCGGATCTCTGTGAGTTCGAGGCCAGCCTGGTCTACAGACAGAGTTCCAGGACAGTCAGGGCTACACAGAGAAAACCTGTCTCGAAAAACCAAAAACCAACCAAACACCCCTCACCATCACCACCAAAAAACCAAAAACAACAACAACAACAACAAAACCAAACCAGACTCTCACATCGGGAGGCCCTGGCCACTTAATGCCAGGCCTTCCCCCATCTGGGTCAGGGACTTGCCAGGTTCACTGACTCAGCCATGGCCACCAACCACATCAGATAAAGTCGCCCTTTCTGAGGGGCATGACTTTCTCTGGGGTAGATCTTCTCAAAGCAGATAGGTCTTTGAAGTGGTGTTGTAAAAGACAGCGATCTTGCAGCTTTGGTATTTCCACCTTCCAGAACGTGGACGCTGCTGAGGGCGCTATAATGGAGGTGAACTGCAAGTGTGCAGATCGGCAGGGAATTGAAGTCGCCCTCGAGGGCAAGCGCTCTGACCACGAATCCCACCCAGGGGCCTCTGCCGGGAACCTGAGCTTTTTCTATAGGGTCACAGCAGTGCGTTCTCCAGAGGGCAAATGGGCAGAGGCTGCCGAAGTCCCCGAGGGATTTCTGCTGAGGTTCCAGACTAAGCAGCCAGAGTCAGGATGGCTGGCCACTGCGGGACCGCAGCTGCAGCTGGGACAGATCCTAATTAATGCTTCGCGAATGGAGCAGAGTTCTGGCCCCAAAAATTTAAGGCTTTAAGGGAGCTCCAGAGAGTCTGCACTGTGTAGTGACATATATTCCTACTTTTGTGGTCATTTAGTTCTGACCTGTCACAGCCAGTCTGCTTCTGACCCTCTGAGTTGGCCTGGTTACCATTTAAAGCATAGCCTGTCTTTAAGTTTTAAAAACCCTTTGAAAGACACCACAAGACATTCCTTTTGAGGAAAAAAAAAAAAAAGAGCCAAGGCCAGGGTGCAGTGGCACATATCTTTAATACCAGCACTCTGGAGGCAGAGTCCTGGGATCCATGTGAGTTCAAGACCAACCTGGTCTACATAGTGAGTTCCTAGAAAGCCAGAGCTATATAGTGAGACCTTGTCTCAAACAGACAAAAGCTAGGTTCTCTCTCTCTTTTTTGTTTTGTTTTGTTTTTTTAAATGACAGATTGTATGGATTTGGGTTATTAGAGATTTTAAAATGGAGATTGTGTGTGTGTGTGTGTGTGTGTGTGTGTGTGTGTTGTTATTTTTGTCTTTTGGGTGGGATTATGCTGTAAAGTTTGGCACTTCTCTTCTCTAACAGTGACTGGACTTGAATCTGTTCTTTGTCACAAGCCAAGCAAACTGTCAAACTGTGGCTCCTTGTAATATCTGTAGTTTCTGAGTGTAGATGCCATTCTGGAGGTGCAAGCCACCCCAAGCTAGGTCTGCACACACCTTGCTGTGTGTCCCACCTTGGATCCGCAGCTGTATCAGGAAGAATCTTTTTTTTGGGGGGGGGGGTTGGGTGGAGACAAGGTTTCTTTGTGTGACAGCCCTCGCTGTCCTGGAACTTACTTTGTAGACCAGGCTGGCCTCAAACTCACGGAGATCCTCCTGCTTCTGCCTCCCGACTGCTGGGATTAAAGGAGAACACCATCACCAACCCACTACTTTAGAACATTATTAAGGACGAATTTTTCAGATACGACTTCTGACAGGATTCACAAACTCAGAATTTCTGTAAGGGCATGCCTGTAAGCAGCCAGCACACCGCACTAGCTCCTAAGGATATTCCAAAAGCATGACTGCTCCTTTTTCTGGAGAGGAGAGAGACGAGAGACAAGCAGCAGCTTCAGGGAGGAGAAACATCGCCTCTTCTGGAACTTTCCTATGGAATGGGTTTAACTATTAACAGCTCTGTTTCTGACGAGTTTTAAAACTCTGGACCGTTGAGTAGTCCGCCTTTTTTCAAAAAAAAAAAATTCAAACTATTTTCCAGTTACAATTTGGCGGGAACAGAAAGTTTGAAAATCCAAGCGCCGGAGACTTCAAATAACCCACATGACATACACGCAGTAAGTATTCCATTTTTAATTTATTCAGCACCCCACTACTCAACACACAGAAACGCTGCAACTTTTGCAACCCCCCGAAAAAAGGGGAAAATCCAAGAGCCCTACTGCAGTTCCGGGGACACTCAGTTTAGTGTTTTGTTACAAGTGTATCCAATATCCCCAGCACCAAGGACTTGTGGGGCACCGCGCATCCTTGCCTCACTCGCTCTGCAGCTTCTGGAGGTGGTGGCTGCGTCTGGAAGCAGAGCTTGCCAAGCTGGACGACAAGATGCTTCGCACCCCCAAGTGCTCAAGGTGCCGGAACCATGGCTACCTGGTGCCAGTCAAGGGCCATGCGGGCAAGTGCCGCTGGAAGCACTGCATCTGCGATAAGTGCTACCTCATCACCGAGCGCCAGAAGATCATGGCTGCGCAGAAGGTGCTCAAGACCCAAGCTGCCGAGGAGCAGGGGTCCCAGCTGCCTCCTGGGGCTCCGGTGGTGGCCGCGGCCTCCTCCAGCTCCAGCATCTGCGCACTGCCCAGGGTAGCTCCGGGAGGCGCCGGAGGAGGAGGAGGAGGAGGAGGCGTCGGAGGAGGAGGAGGCGTCGGG